ACTGGGTTTTAGCTCAAACCCAGGACAGAACTGATGTGAGGAACCTGCATGGGCAGACAGGCTCAAGCTCCACTTGAAGCTTCCAGTCACCACAGTAAGCTGGTGAAGGTAATGCACTTCCAGAACCTTCTGCCGAGCTGCCATGCCTTGCTTTCTGGGTCTAGCTGTGTGGGCGTGCCCAGAATAGATCGGGATTTTTTTTGTATTTTCTGCTTTGGGTATGGAGCGATGTGCCTTTTCTGCTTCGCTGACCCGAGTGGTCTGTGCCTCTTCTTTCCAAGCGAGGACTGGGAGAAGACAAAAGCGCGTTTCTTTTTTGGTTGCCTCTTCCGTCTGTACCAAACGGGTTTCCTGACAGTGTGAAACTGTGCAATGCAAAATCTAGGGAACAGGAGGTTTTTAAAACCACATTCTGAGCTTTCCTTGAAAGACGTGTCAGGTGGGAAACCCCTCAAGGAAATGTTGTGACTTCTATTTCTGTCCAATCCACTTGCTTTAAGAAAGATTATGTTGCTCCCTCTGCAGGCAGATATTTTATTCAGTCTGTGCTCAACTTCCTCTCATCAATGAGTAAAATATAGGTCATCCTAGCACAGTTTGGCAAGCTTTGGCTGTAAAGTTTTTGCGAGTGAGAAGTCCTTTTGGTGCAGCTCAGACAGTTTCACCAGCACATCTGGCCAGTTGTGCACAACTTGCAGCTGTAGGGACTTGCGTCACATCACGCTTCTGCCAGAACTCTGGGAGAGTGTCTGCCCCTCCACAGACATTGTGCGGTGTGAACGGAGCATGGTGCAACTTCTTGCACCTTGAAAGACGTGGAGATTAGTTCAGCCTGTACTCACCTTAAGAAGTCAACTGGCTGTTACCAGCCCAGATTAGCTGGCCAAGGGTAGAGTAATGCTGTGGTTCTCCATGAAGCTTTTGGCATAGGCTGTGGCTGGGTGAGGATGGCAGTACGGGTAGAGCCCAAGAAGGTTGCTGTAATGAGTGTGGATTTCCAAGTGAATGGGATGTGGGCAGCAGAGGCTCAATACTGCTTCAGGCTTCCTATGGTCTAAGCCATGACTGTTCAGGAAGAGGTGTTTAACTCATCAAGAATTAGTATCGGAGGATATCCTAGTTGTAACGTGAGTGTCTTGGGCTTGGGCTGAATTACTTTGAATTGAAAATAAACATTATATGTATAAAAGCCAAATACGTGCAAGCTGGGGCTTTGCCTAGCCTACAGAAATCTTGCTAGTGCAGACAATTCCTGAGGAGTTTGCACAAAACCAAGGTCCTGTCCCAGACTTAACACTAAATCCCCAATTTTCTCTTAATCTTGGGGATTCCATCTCTAATTCTGTAACCTGAATTTACATCTGTTTCTCCTACAGCAAAGTCAAGCTCAGGAGAAGAGTCACTGACCTGTTGCAGACCCCTGTCAGGTCCCAGAGAAGAGGACAGAGAGGACTGTGCTCTCCTCAGCCAGCCCACTCTTGAGGGAAGAGGTGAGTAGCAGCAATAGCAGTCTGAATGGAACAGAGAAGAATGCAGAACAGCGTAGGCTTTGTGGTTTAGGAAGCTATTAGTCTGATGTAACAATTAAATGAAGAAAGGAGGTCGTGGTTAAGAGGCTGCCTGTGGGCTATTGTGTGTTTTAGACATATTTGAGACTGTGTTTTGGTCTTGGACTTCTAAGAGCCTTTGAAATATAGGGAAATTTATGGTCCCTCGAAATTATTACTGTGGTTTCTTTCAGAGTTTGAATTCCTTTCTGCTTTTACTTCTTCCCTTTTTACTACCAGCACACTTGGTTATTTAAAACTTAGTTGTTACTAAGGGGTTGTTACTATGAAAAAGGTCTTTGGTTAGCAGGTCATCTCTTCAGCCTCCTTGGTGCTTTCACCCCATTTTTGGTCAGAAGGCACCTGTGTAACAGCCAGGTTACTGCCCTGGGTGAAGAAGGCCTGGTGGAAAGGTACTTTCAGCCAGGTCCTGCTCATCAAGAGGTGAAGCCAGTTTGCACCAGAGACTTCTGTGTGCAGCTGTGGGACTGTTGCATCCAAGGCAGGAGATACAATGTTCACAGAGAGGTTTCCTGTCCTCCCTGCCTTGATATTTGCTGGGTAACCTTGTGTTATTGACACTGGTTTTACTGCTCTCGCACCTTTTGTGCTCTGGGACTGTATAGGGAAGCCTTTGATGGCACTTCGTCTAACCTTCCCACTCCCTAGGTATTTGTTGGGAAAGTATCAAAATAAGCCTGAGCAAATGCACATATGCCCTCATGGGGAGCAGGGGGGAAGCACACTTGAGGTCTTGCAGGTGTGTGGCAAGGTCAGCTGGGTGTTTCACTTCAGAATATGCTGCTGTGCACACAGAGCCAAGCAGCTCATCGGCTCTCCTAGGTACCCAAGCACCCTTCTGTGAGAACTCTGCTTTCCATTCCAGCCTCTGGCACTATGAAGGGTTGTTCCTCCCTTCCCCAGCACCACCTCGTGGCTTTAAAGCCCAGTTTGCAGGTTATGTTGCTCCACTGTCTTCTACCCACCTGTGGCAGGAAGGAGTTTCATGCCCCTCGTTCATCTGAACAGGCCCTTCTTGCTGAGACAGTTGCAGTTTTCTTCTCTCTGTTTTGTTTTTTTTTTTTTGACTGCTACTATGTGTTGGGCAACCCTCTCCAGAAATACAGATATGCATCACTAGAAAAGGTAATTTTCTGAGACGTCACCTCACCTGGGAGCACTACTGCAACATGTGGGTTTATGTGATTTATTTTTTTTTCCCTTTTGCCCTATTCTTTCTTACTCTTTTGCAGGCCAAGGACCTCTTCTAGTCTGACGCAGAAGGTGACAAGAGCTGCTCTGGTTCTGAATCCATCATGGAACAGGTTAGATTCAAACACGACTGAAGTTCATGGCTCACAGTGACCAGTGGTTCTCTGGTGCACTTGTTCAAAGATGCCTCAAATGGGACAGATCTCAGAGTTCTGGCTCGTGTCCTTCTCATTTTCCCCAGAGCTAGTGCGGGGGACCTGACACAGCTCTGATACAGACAAGTTGATGAAACCACTTAGTCTGCAGGCTGCTTCCTTGTTACCTTGTAGTGTGACATTCCCTCTTTGAACTGCAGGATGGAGCTGTAGCTATTTAAGAGACTACAATATTTGTTAATAAAGCTACACACTACTGAAAATAATAAATCAAATTAATAGACATGCCCCTGTGATCAATTTATTGCATAGCTTTGTGCAGTGTTAAACACAATTATAGAGCTAGTGTTTATCACACATCTTATTAAGCGCATTGAACTACTATGGAAATATTCATGTCCCCTACCCCACCTAGTGTTAGGGTGCCATTATACCCTCTCTGCTTCGCTCTCCCACAAGCCTTTTGAACAGAAACCCAGTGACTAATGCAGTCAGTTGTTCAAGGGGATCTCCACTGGTGCCCCAGTGATCTTGAGTACACATCTGTAAACACCTGAGCATGTCTGTAAACATCCATGCTCAGATCATGGAAAACATGCCTTCTGTTGATCTTTGATCATATAACTTATTTTCCATTTGTTTCCCTTTCTGGACTCTCCTTTTTTGTTTTCTTTGGTTCCTCCTTTTCTCTCTCTATTCTTCTCTTAAGTAAACCACCTGTCCTTAAGTACTTAATTGCTTAGGAAATACAGGTCCTGTATGATATTCCAGATGTGGTTATGTAGATAGGGGTGACATTGCAAGATTCCACTCCCCAAAGGTACCTGAAGCTGCCTTTCAATTTTCAAGTTCGTCCTCGTTGCCTATTGATTGACCTATGCAGTTGGCTAGACAAACCCTTCTACTTTAGCCTTGATTCTTCTCCCTAGTTAAAAGAAAATGCTTTGGAATAATTGTTTTTGTCAGCAGACAGTCTGCACTACCAGAGTAAGGATTTTCTTTCTCACTTCACTTCTGTGCTTACCTAACAT